AAGAGTCCGCGTTCCTGGTGAGTTGGGAATCAGGTTTTGAGCAACATCAGAGTCGTTGTCGTCAGAGGTATCGGATTCAGAGTCAGAGATCAGTATCGGAGAGGCATCAGTTTCACTCTTCACGGGTGGTTCAGACAAGCCTTCTTCCATTTCATGAGTGAGTGGTTCATCTTCGGGAACAGTTGGCGAGATTGGCTCTATGAATGGAGACGGTTCAACGGCAGTGATTATTTCAAAATCTTCGTCCTTGTCGGAGTGAACAATGGAGGTGGAGGGTTTGATGTAGTCCAAGAATTGAACGTGCTTGGTGTCAACAATTTTTCCATTGTCGCTTAGGATGCGATACGAGAGGATTTCATCATTATAACCGATCAGCATTCCGAGTTCACCCTTCGGCATCAGTTTGGATGCTGGTTTTTGAGGAAGAATCAGATACGAGACTCTGTTGCCGATAGGATGGAAGAAGTCAATGGGAATTGTCCGTTCTTTGAAAGTTTCAAAAGGCGATTTCTTGCTCTTATGAGTGGGAATTTGATTCAACGTTAGAGTACTTGCCTTGATGATATCAGACCAGAAGCGAAGATTGACGGCTGAGTCTTTGATGATGGTTCTGAGCGATTCCAGAATGGTTCGATTGAATCTTTCGGCCAGATCGTTCTGTTGAGGAGTGTATGGATCAGAAGTTCTACAGCGAATAAGATGGGCCTTGCAGAATTCTTTCAGACTTGAGTTGATAAACTCACTCCCTCGGTCGGAGTGTAACACAGAAGGATAATATCCGAAAAGTTTGGCTTCAAAGTCAATTACATCGGATAGTTGCTCCGAGACATCACTTTTTAATTTGAGAGGAATGGCTGAGCAATATCTAGAGTGACTGTCAACAACAGTGAGTACATAGCGATGTCCTTCACGAGACATGGGTGAGATTGGACCGATTAGATCAAGATGGAGTTCTTTGAACGGTTTGGAGGCAGGGGAATGTTTATTCTTGAAGGATGCTTTGGTGATTTTTGACACTGAGCAAGCTTCGCACATGGAGTCCATTTTAAGAGGGATTCCCAACTTATGTCTCAGACGATGGTAGCTTACATGTCCTAATGACTTATGAAGATTTTCAGCTGAGGTCAAATGAGTTTGATGCTCGATGTTGGTGAATGATAGGTTGGGTAAATTATAGTTGTAATTTCCATTCATTTTCAAGAGACCGTGTTGGGTGATTGAGAAAGAATTTTTAAAGAAATTGACAACGTAATTATCCAGTACTAGACATCTGACAGAGAGGAGATTGACAACAAGATCTGGGACATAAAGAACATGATGAAGATGAATAACACCGTGTTCGTTGACTAGCTTGATGGATCCAGATCCCATGATTTGGAGGGACTCGGTTCCTGAGCTCGTTCGGACTACTCCTTTTTCTGTTTTGTCAATAGCGTAGAACAGATTGAGGTTTGAAACCATGTGAGCTGATGATCCTGAATCAAGAATGAAATGAGATGAAGGATATGATAATGAGGTGTGAAAGCTGCTGACACTTGATTCCGTTCGGGATGGATACGAGTTGGTAGCAGGTCTGAGATGAGGATAAAGCATCCAACACTTGGATTCAGGATGGTTCGACATAGTGTTGTGAGCGTTTCTCTTGCATTTCTTTGATGCATCCGTGAACAGAGACACCACTTCAGACTTGCTGGATGAGAGTCGGCTGGCAATCGCGAGTTGATCATTGCTGTAGAGCTTGAGGTGATCGAGGACTAGGTCGCAGGTGATTTCTTTGTCGGAGTGGGTTATTTGTTGACAAATGTTGTGCAGCGAGGGCGGTAGTTTTTTGAGGATCATGTAGGCGACAAGGTCTTTAGGGATATCAATTCCGATTTCAAACAGTCTGGAGTTGATGGTTCGGACTGAGGTGATGAACGACGGTACATCGGAACCGTTGAATGTTAAGTCGAGAAGTTCGTTGAAAACTCTGGCACGATTGGAAGGTTGAGTGGAGGCAAAGTATGCGGTGATGGAAGACCAGATATCTCGAGCTTTCTTCTCGTTTTCATGGGTGATAACATTCGGGTGGATTGAGGAGTCCAGTTTTGAAGTGATGATGGTCTGAATTTGGATGTCGTCATTAGCGGTGAGAGTGCCGTTAGTGTCTGTGAGCGACGATCTGAGGCCCTGAAGGTCCAGCATGTTCTCGACTCTATTTCTCCATAGAGAATAGTTGTCGAGGGTGAGTAAGGGGATGGCTTCTAGGGCAGTTTTGAGGATCGTCGAGTTGATTTTCTCCATTTGGGAGTCAGCTGTCTTTTGAGTCGTGTTCTGGTTGTCGTCAGTAGTTTTTTGGTTTTGAGGAGTGGTAGACATTTTCGAGGATGAGGATGAAAGTTGATTCGAGTCGATTTCGACTGTTAATCGTGATGAAAAACAGGATGAATTACTGTGACTAGAACCAGAGCTGAAAGATCAAGAAACAAGTTAGAAAAGAAGAAAATAACAATGAGATCGATGAAGACAGAAAGGATTCAAGAAGCATACCACGAGCGGAATAAACCGGAAAGAAAATAGACAAGCTGAAGTAGAGAAGATCAAACAGAGAGAGATAGTAGACACTGAAGAAGAAAAGGAAGAGAAGGTAAGCGCGATGATTCTTTTGGATGAATGAGAGCAGAAGTGAGTGAAGAGAGTGTTGCTGGTTTTCTCACCAAATTGGTAATAACCAATTGAAGGTGTCAATGATTGAAGTTGGAGAGTTGAGAAGGTAAGTTGAGGATTGTAGATGATAGTCGATGTGGTATCGGGATCGGTGAGAGTGAAGGATGAGAGAGAATAGAGAGAGAAGGAAGAGAATGGAAGAGGAGATGAATCGGAGTCGGATGGGAAAGGATAGACGATAGTGGGCGGAGATTGTTGAGTGAAGAATGTTGAAGAGGATTGTGTGGGAGTGAGTGGAGCTGAGTTGAGTATCGGGAGCGGCAGCGGTGAGGTTGAGATGAGTTTGTGAAGTTTGTTGGAAAGGTGAGAGAAGCTGCTGAGTGAACCGAGCGAGTGAGCGTGAGAGATCTGAGACTATTTATGTGTTCGGTACCAATGTTCAAGTTGTGGTTGAGAAGAGAGTGCGTGAGTTGTTCGAGTTGTGGTTGAGAGGAGAGTGAGTGAGTGTGAGATTAGGTCTGTTTGAGAGCGGAGATTGTGAGCGGGGTGCGGTGATCCTGGGAGCAGCGCAGAATTGTTTCAGGATTTCAACAGTATTACAGCTTGAGTTCCACGTTATCCATAGCCTACAGAACTTCTTTGCCGTATTAGAAATCACTGATTCCATAACTGACTTGGGTAGATTTTCAGCTGTGCAAATATCCTGTAAATTCTGCTGAGTTTCTGTTAGAACATCAGTCTCTTGCACATCTATGTAGAGGCCAAAAAGAACCAATCAGATTATAGATCCACTTGAATATTTTTCTAAAATTTTACACACCCATGAGCAATGCCTCCAAAATGTTCTCCACCTTGGCTGCCATATTGACAGCCCAATTTAGAGCCTGCCTTGCTTCCCGTGATATGCGACGCAATTCATCATCACAGTTAGTCATTGTGAGATATGCTGTAATACCCTTCTGTGTTTCCACGTCAATGGCCCAGGGTTCATTTGGATGATCCAGCAAGCCAATGTTCCAAAATGAATTGTTGATTTGAAATGACTTGACTTCATCGAATGTTGGGGTTGGTAAATCAGGATTGGGTGTATATGTTGCATTATAGTTGATTGCTCGGTGATTGTACGAGATCCATTTGTTCTTCAGAAGCTTCATTTTGGAATTCATTTGCTTCTTGAACTGTGCCTTTATCCGGGTGCCTATTTTTTGTATGTAGGGTAAATTGATAAGAGGAGGGCCACATGCATGTTAAAGTTATGTATTTACTTGCCTGAAACACGTTCATCCCATTTTTTTTGAAGCTCAATCACTCCAACCTTGGCCTCATATAGCTTTGACTTGCTGATTTTCAATTTTACCAATGATTTAGTTTGTTCACCTGTGCAAGAAGTCAAGTCTCAGTCTTTGCTATTTTGGTTTTATTTGATTGAGAAGAAAGTAATATGATGATTGACCAGAATTGCCTGGAAGATTGCGGAAATATTCCAAACCCAGCTCATGAATGATATTTTCTATCTCTGATTCTAACACACGTAGATGATCAGGACCTTGTTCCATCTGCAAGGTCTGAGCTTCCGTACGATTCCTGCACCTGGTTCTTCCGAGTTCAACCATTTCCTGTCTATTTAACAGTTTATTAGTTATGGGCAATACAAAAATCAATCAATGAACTGACTGTGTTGCTCGGAGTTGGTCCTCCAACATAACAAGCTCTTCTACTTGTTTTCTCATTTGCAATTCAGTATCATTTTCCATTTCCTCCAGTTGCATTTGCCTCTGTCGATTCCATTGGTCCTTCAAATACAACAATGTGTGACCAGATGACCTCTCCACTTGTAACAGGGTTTGCTGGGATTCTTTCAAAATTCCTTCAATTTGCTTCCCTCTTTCTAAAAGCAAACGAACTGAACAAGGAATACTCAGCTTTGTTTAAAATTTGGACACAAAAAAACCCACATGCTGATTTTCTTCCATTGTCGTTATGATGATTCACTTGTAGATCAATTGCGGACAGTCGGTGCTTCTTGGTTGAGTAGCGGAGTTGGCTGATTAATGGTGACAAATGGGACCACAGACGCTCCATCCCCTCCCCGTCTGAAATTCCCCACCCTTGGTTCATTCTGGGATTGTATTGGAGCTGGCAGGTCCACTCATGCACATATGCATGGAAAACACTTGTGCCAAACCGGAGCAGATTATGAGTCATCTCGTATGGAAATTGATTACGCTGGTTTTTGGATAATAGCCACCTCAATCAGCCTTGAATTAAATACCCTGGGGCCAGATAAGATAAAAAATAGATACATACTCGCATAATTCCTTTCTCAATGTTGCATCCTATGTCATACAGGAATGCTAGCTTCTTGCGCGCTCCGTGGTCTTCTTTGGTGACCTGTACCATGTGGTTAATCATGGTTAAAGGGAAATAGGATCTGACAAAACATATGATATAATTGTAAAAGGCCTTATTTATGGGCTTTAGTTGTCAAAGTTAATGAACATACATACTTCTCACCACTCTTGACAATGTTGATCATCCTGATCATCTGATCATGCCGGCAAGCCATCCCAAATAGTCCAGTATCATCACAATGCTTCCAAGTACTTCCATTTCTCGTGTCATTGGCCGCTGTGTGCTGCTCAGTGCACCTGTCCTACATTGTTGTGTATAAATTAATCTTGATGTCACTATTAGCTGTAATGGTTTTGGATAGTTTTAAATATCTTAACTCACACTACCTTCCATTGTTTGGGTTGGTTGTTGTAATCGTGCAAGTGATTCTCCCATCTCGGATACTTCAAGCGGCTGAACAAAAAGGCTGGGAGTTTTGATATTTTCAGAGTGCTCAACACTGGCTTTGAGGTGTCTGCGATGTTGGAAATTTCCATCCATACATAAAATGTAATCTGGTTCTCCTTCTCTTTTACCATCGACTTGTGGTCCATAACATTTGGGGCAAATGTCAGCTAGTTCACCTAACGGGTCCAATTTCATCACCTGGGCCACTAATTCCTTCTCTCTTTTAAGCATTTCCCGGAAGGCATCAACCGCTTTACTTAACTGCTTCCTCCAATGACGAGTCTAAATTATTTCCAAAGACTATTCAGAAATAATATTACATATGATGCCAAGATGAAATACTTACACTGACTGATTGGTCGAAGTCATCTTCACCGTGAGGAACCAATATGAGGGGATTGTTGATATCCAGAAATTCATCAATAGCTTTTGAGAAGGGTAGCATGGCAATAGTACAATGTTTCCATAGTATGTGATGTAATTGAAGCAGTCGGATCGAAAATGCGGTCTTTGGGAATTTGGGGGATGCGCCGATATACCCCATCTGGATCAGCCTTACTTGGTCCGGCTGGCAGTGGCAGAAGTCAATGCGCTCCTCTTTACGACCTGTAATATCTCAAGGTCAAATGAGTGCATGCACAAAAATCAAATCTAGCATGAAGTGAAGTGCTTGACTGAGGATATCCACGAGTACCACAGGCCTTTGACGAGTTGGGATACAGCCACATGTGGGTTTCCAATCAGTGTTCCATTTTTCAAGATCACCCCAGTTGGCGGTTTTTGCTGCACAATTGTAAAACGAGGAGAACATTGGTCCATATACGTCTGCCCATTGTTGCTCTTCAAGGATGTGTCTGTGTTCGAAGAGCTGGATGAGCTGGGTCCAAGAGCTGAGTGAGCTGGGTCCAAGAGCTGGATGAGCTGGGTGAGCTGGTTCCGAGAGCTGGTAGAGCTGAGTGAGCTGGGTCCGGGAGCTGGATGAGCTGAGTGAGCTGTGTCCGGGAGCTGAGTGAGCTGGTTCCAAGAGCTGAGTGAGCTGAGTCCGAGGGCTGGATGAGCTGAGTGAGCTGGGTCCGGGAGCTGGATGAGCTGAGTGAGCTGCCTGCGGGAGCTGGATGAGCTGGATGAGCTGGGTCCAAGAGCTGAGTGAGCTGGGTCCAAGAACTGGATGAGCTGGGTCCAAGAGCTGACTGAGCTGACTGAGCTGGATGAGCTGGATGAGCTGGGTCCAAGAGCTGGATGAGCTGGGTGAGCTGGTTCCGAGAGCTGGATGAGCTGAGTGAGCTGTGTCCGGGAGCTGGATGAGCTGAGTGAGCTGGTTTGAAGATCTGGATGAGCTGAGTGAGCTGTGTCCGGGAGCTGGATGAGCTGAGTGAGCTGGTTTGGTTCCAAGAGCTGGATGAGCTGAGTGAGCTGGGTCCGGGAGCTGGATGAGCTGAGTGAGCTGTGTCTGAGAGCTGAGTGAGCTGGGTCCAAGAGCTGAGTGAGCTGAATCCGAGAGCGTGATGAGCTGAGTGAGCTGGGTCCAAGAGCTGAGTGAGCTGGCTCGGAGAGCTGGATGAGCTGGGTCCGAGAGCTGAGTGAGCTGGGTCCAAGAGCTGACTTGAGCTGACTGAGCTGGATGAGCTTGGTCCAAGAGCTGACTGAGCTGGCTGAGCTGAAAAAATTGGGCGAGCTCAGCTCCAGCCATCTTCCATTCCAAATGGAAGATGTGTGCATCAGTTTCCTCCATTTGGCATGGAAGAATTTTGCAGCCAAACCTCGGGGCCTGAGTTACAGGGGTTTTTATGGTGCCCTCCAATGAATCAGGACCTGCTAAAACAGGGGTATTTTCTATGTACCTGATGTTCTGATCCTTTGTGTAGAAGGAGTATGCCCAGACAATGCCTAAAACTGAAGTATCAAGGAAACATTACCTACCTGTACTATTTCCAATCCAAGGGGGACTTCAGGTGGGTGAAAGATGGTCTGGAAGCGCTCAGAAAGCTGGTTAACAGGTGGTGGGAGAGTTCTGGGGAACAGTTGATGGTTGGTTGGTTGAAATTCAGGATGAAAAACAGCAGGAACTGGGCCAAAAACAGGTGAAAACTGGTTTGTTGGAGGTGGTTATTGCTGGTAAGTGATAGTGAAGATGGGGATTTGGAGTTTGGGGGAAAGAAGGGATCCTTATATACTCATTCTGGGCCCTTGGAGGTGAACTCAGAACTCTGTTTGGCTTGTGCAAGCCTCCTACTAGCAATGGTGGGCCAGATACACTAACCGTAGTGTTAGCTTTTTAAGCTACGCTACACAAAAGTTACTGTTAGTGGGAATTTTTGGCCCACTAACACTACAGGATTTTTGAAAAAACAAAAAAAACTTTAGAGTAGTGTTAGCTACCTTTAAAAAGGCACAACTAACACTACCCAAAATCCTGTTAGTGAAATTTTAGCGGTGTTAGTGGGTGATCCCACTACACTACATGTTAGTGTAACCTTTTGCAAAGTTACACTAACAGTTAGCGTAGTGGTACCCTCAGTTACACTAAATGTTAGTGTAACTGGTGAAAAATTTACACTAACTGTTAGTGTAACTGATTAAAAGTTACATGACCACATGACTAGCATTAGTCTACCTGAAGACAGTGCCAGATCCCCTTTAATTGATCATCATTTTTTT